GGGGGGTTGGTAGGGGGTATTAGGGTGTGAGAATGAGAATAGATAATGATGCTCACTCGGGAGTGATTGCTTAAAAGTGGGTATCATCCACACCCTTGAAAATTGGGAGGAATGACTTCTCATTCACACCATTATTATTTATTTATTATAAAACCAAACCAAACTAACCTGGTAAATCCCACACAAAGATAAAGTGGGGGTAGGATGTCGGTACACCTTATCATACCCATTCCCATTTTCATCCCGTTAAAATGAACCAAACCCACTTAGTGTTAATGCTTTTACGTTCATTGAGCTATCAACCTAACCTTGAAAAAGAATGTTAGATATGAACTATGAGGAACACACAAAGGAATAGAGAAAATCTTCTAGCATCTTTTATTTCACTCCCTTGGATCCTCAACTTGGTAGCTACAAATGAGAGAGATCTCTTTTTATAGGAGGCTTCAACCATCTAATGAAGGATTAGAATAAGGAAATTTCTAGTTTTCTACTATACAAGTTGTAGCCTACAAGCATCATGAAGTTTTATGAGCTAAGGCAACCTTGGAAAGGATCACTAGATATGAGAAAAGGGGAACTCTTTGTGATTTATTATTACTCCCTATCACTATCAATGTGCTCGTTGTTCTTTATCACTCGCAGAGCTTGATCCTCACATTCGGATGCTATGGATATCGGAGGTCTCTCCTTCAAAGGAGACTCTAACCCACCCTCGAAGGGAAGATCTAGATCAAGAACATTTTTATTTTATCTTTCTGATGTATATATGGCAAAACTCACACACTCCTTACCTATGCTGAGGCTTAAACCCTTGACCTCCAAATAAGTTGGGATCCATGGGTAAACCGGCTGCTGCAGGCCATAGACCCTTTGGCTAGATCAAGAAACCTTCTAGACTACATAATTTCTAGCCTACAAGTATCATGAAGCTTCTCTAAACACAAGAAGCTTAGAACATCAATGGGAACTCTGTAATCCTAGAATATTACGGTGAATACTAGGATCATTCGGGGTCCTCCACCGACAATTTTTTGCATGTGTCCCTTTTGAGAGAAACTATTCAAGAACAAGCAGCCTAAACCAATAGTCATTGAACCAGCAGTACCCGGTAGAGCTGATATTCATCAACTTCATTGATGCTATAGCACCATTTCTTTCCTATATCTCTTCATATGTATTACCCAATTCCCAAATATTGAGTTCTTTATTTTGATTTTACAACTTTATTGTTTTCAAGCTATATTGAAGAGGGCGGTCATCGGATTTTGAAGACTTTCTTGGTGGGCTTTTGTACATTGTATCTCCACCAGTTGGCTTATGGCAGATTTCCAAACAAGGATGTACTAGTTAACTACTTGATTTTGATGTATATCCTTTTGCCATCATGGTTTATCCATTGGATTATTTTGTAAAGGTAATTTTGGCTTTATTCTTCCGTTTTTGTGTCCAATTCCTTTTGTATATAAAGTATTGGCTAGGATTATATCGCAGGTTAGTAAGTAAAATCTGAAGTTTAGTAGTTAAAGCATTAGATGGATGTACTTTTGTAAACTCTTTGGCAAGTATTGAAAGCATTAAGCTTTTGGGTAGTAAATTCTTACAAGTTGCATTTATTTTCAAGTGTTCATCTTTACTTTCTTGCATGTACTTCACTTGCATTTACTCATCATTTACATTCCTTATCTTTAATTATTTCAAGCAATTATTTTGAGCCTTTAATGTTAACTTTCTTTTAAGTCGAAATTAGAAGGAAAACCGAGCAATGATAGACTAAACCCGTTGCTTGGGTGTAAGGGGAAGCTGAGAATAAAAACTACATGAAAGTGAATTTTGCTTCTCAATAACAATTCTTTCCAACCTTTCATTCAAGTTTATAATAATTATACAATACTTCTTGACCAAGTTGGTCACTTGCTAAAAGTGTAGTATGATGGACTTAGGAATAAACCATTCCACACACCTCAATTTGAATGACATGGAGGTAATCTTAGAAGGGTTGCTGTCCGTCCATGTACTAAACGGGAAAGTCTGTGCCTAAGCCCAAATCACAAGACTAGTTAGTGCTGTAGCAACCGTATGTTACATTGTAGCAAGATACCCATTGGATTGTTTGTTTAAAGTCTCAACTAAACCTTATACCCTTGCCTTTTCTTTACATCTTGTTTACATTAGTAGCTTTAATCACCTAAAATTATTTTTTTGAAGACTCAAAAAAGTTTGGATTTTCCGATTTGTGTGGATCAATATTTGGTATCTTACCATCTTATTACTTGTGAAAGACGACAGTAGATTATTATATGTATACTTGTGGGTACCGGCATTTGCTTAATAATCTTAGACGTCTAAAAACCTTGTAACAAGACCCTAGCCTCCCTGGAGGTAAGGGTTCTCACCAAAAGTGAGGAGTCTGCATGAGTATTTACCGTATAAAAATATTATATACATCCAAACAAACAAGCGGCCTAAACAAGTTTATCATCCTTTTCAATAAAATGGAAATGGTAGTCAAACATTTGGGAGTCAAATGATTCAATTTTTACTTTTTAAATCAAATCTAAAATGTATATGGAAAAAAGTTGCACATCAACATGAAAAATCCATACGCAAAGCGCTAGAGGTGATACTAGGTAATGCATGGCCCGAACCATTGTTATAAATGGGTACTTGGTGATTATGAAATTCCGGTAACACGGGTATACGAATGACATTTCAGCAAAGTTAAATGAATTTATCAAAATATATGTATTAAAGATTATATATATATATATATAGAGAGAGAGAGAGAGAGAGAGAGAGTCTGTATCAAGGTGGTAACATAAGAGCCATGGCAGCTACAATGATAAAAAAAACACACACGGCCCAAGAAAACCTAAAATGTTATCCAAGAGACCCAAAGTACAAGACTCCTCGGCCTATCAAGGGTTGGGATGGAAGTCAACGTATGCATTCTTTCAGTTTCATTTAGGATCTATCTCCATGACCTTCTAATCACAAAAGAATAAAACTACCAATTGTTCTGAGACTCCCAATGCTTAAACTTTAGTATTAGAAAAGTTAGATTTAAAGTTATATTTCACACAACTTTTCAGGTTAAATATGAAGTCGGCAGAACACAGGCACAAAAAAAAACCTCATATCTAGCACCAGAATCAACAGATGAAAGGGACCAGTAATCCTGGCTTACCGGATAAAAAGACATCCTTATAATCTTCTTCGTCGTATATAAATTGAGGGGGATCCGGAGAACCAACCCCTACTATGGTGCTTCCACTGCAAAAGCAATATGATGAAAGGATGTTATGATATTTTTATGCAACAAAATTTTGATTAAAAATGAAGTCAGTGAATGATACAACCGATGTGGTTATCAACTTTTGAATTGCTTTTTCATCAAAATTAGCTTTAGAGGTCAACAATATGTTTACATTTCAATACCATTAAAATGCCAAAGAAGCCATTACAGTGAAAAGATAGTATATGCGATCATTTTATGTAGCTAAAATCCCGAATGTTACGATGCTATTGTTTGCTTCAAAAATAATAGTTTTTGGGTAGAAGTTAAACTCTAACCAATAGCTAATTATTATTTATTTCTTGGACAGCTGAGTATCACCTCCGTAGCAAAATAAGCGTCTACGTTTCTATTTTTGTTTAGTGTCCAGCTCTCAAAAGTAAGTGCCTCCTTTCTAATTCTGCCCTTAATTATAAGATGGAGGAATTCATTATTCCCTCTATTATTTCTAAAACTATGTGCCTTTTTCATTGTAGACATTTATTTCAAGTATAGAGATTTCCTCATGTCCAAAATACGCTCTCATGTAACAAATTAGAAGATATTCTTGAATGGTGATAAAGCTGAGTACCTTCCAGACATAAAAACAGCATCATATTTTCCACGGCCTGCAGCAACTATGCGTTGTTTTAGTCTTTTCAGAGATGGAAGGACCTCAAATGCAGGAGGTTCTGTCAAATGTGAAGTAATATTAGTCTTCTATGGGAGAAACCACCATGTGACATTTATAGTAAATTTAGATGAGCTCATACCCAAATCGTTTACACAAACATCTTGTGATATTCCATTATTTGAGATCTTCTCCAGCAAAGTTAAGGGATCAACAGTACTTGATATATCCAACCGGAAACGCTGGAAAAGCAACATTATAACTATGATGATTACAATATCTACTTTTTGAATCAATGTCATAAGATAAAATCACCTTGTAAACTTCAGCTGTGGAGCATGCCTCTGGAGGCTTAATCAGAACCATTGGCATGTCGAAAGCTACAGGTGAGGGTATGTCTTGAACAACCTGACATCAGCAATGTGGTTATAACGTCGTCTGCCACGAATAGAAAAGTAAACAATAAACACAAAAAATTTGAAAATTTTCGAATGGGACCGTTTGACAAAAATTCCAATGACACATTTATAAATACATAATGGTGTTTGGTCTGCGGTGCAGCTTAGAGTGAAAACTGCATGCCAACCCGCATAAGTGGTTTAAGCTTTTTTCCAAATCACATACATCTCAAACCGCAACATACCGCACCGCATTTTATACGGTTTATGCTTAAATATGATGAGTGGAAAGTAGCAATACAAAGTTTTGTAGTCGGTACTATACATATAACATAATTAAGTTCAACTGTTCAAGTGCATAGCAGCAAAAAGAGCTCCAAACAACAAGCAGTTAGAACTTATTGGATTTGGGTTGGACTACTTACCAAATTTATTTCTTATGGATTATTTAGTATTGACTAATGTCTAAATAATTATGTTTTAGTTAAAATATAATGTATAATCATATATATAAAAAGTACTAAAAACTATTTACGCGGCACAGTTCTGTTTCATAATTCAAAACCTGAAAACAAATTGCATGGTACGATTTGAAAAAAATTACAAACCATAAACAGTACCGCGGAAGTTCCGGGTTTGGTGCGGTGCAGGCAGCTTATGCCGTAGGGATGAATTACATATATATATGTATGTATGTACATATATATATATATGTATGTATGTATGTATACGGTGTCCAAAAATTATATAACATCCATGTTAAAGACTAAGATGTGTAATAAAATATAGTGAATAGTTTGTTGAAGCCTTAATCATAAATACAGGCCCAACGTCACAACAGACTATAAGTGTATGGAAATACGGCTTCCATACGGACTAGCCTTGTGTGAGATTCCAGAAAGAAGACATTCTCAAAGTATGGGAAAAGATTTTTATGTATATTCACATGAGGAAAGTGACACAAGCCACCAGCAGGTCCACTAGCAAGTAGTATGCATTGTTTGTGAGACAAGTGCACCAACAAAGCACTCTTCCTTGGCAGAGTCAAAAAGTGATCTAACTGCATGTGTGTCTCCACATACACATTCACATACACATACACATACATACATACATAAGTATATATATATATATATAAATGTATCTATACGCATGCTATAGGGTTATATATTGCTGTATATAGAGAGGCGCCACCTTTATATATGTTAAGAGTCTAGTGCACTTGTGTCATTATTGGTGCTAAGCTCATCTAAGTCTTCTATTAGGGTTTTATTTCCCCTGGTCCATGAACACGACTGTATTCTAAATAATTGCAGCTTTGTTAAATGGAATAAAATACCTTCTCTTCTAAAATGCTTTCACATGGTTTAGTACAAGTCCCAGCAACAGTCTTTTCTGTTGCTCGATATTACAGGCAGTGCCCAATTCAGGTTCTATAGGTGTTAATGTAGTTACTTCATCAATTGCATGTCATCCACAGAATTTTGAAAGGATAAGGCCCTTATCGTATATTATTCCAGTTATTCCATTACTTTCGGTTGGTCCAAATTTTTTTTATTGCTATGTTTATGTGCATGACTTTAGGCCCAATACTAGTAGCTTGACACTAGGATAGATTCCTGATTAAAAACTATTACGGGTCTCAAAAGGGATACAAATGCTATCGCTCACCCTTAAAATATATTTTATCTTTGCTGATATCACTTTCTAGAATCAGGTTTTCAGTTTCCAAATTCCAGTAACCTAAGATGAGCCCTCTAGCCTGATTCTCTCTCCTTGAGTACCATGAGATATAGGGCACTCATAATGCACCACCTTAAGCTTCAACTGCTCATATCCGTCACACATTCTCTTTGGGTTCATCAAATGATAAGAGAAAGAAACCACATTGACACCACATATAAGGTAGTTGGAATCAGAGAGATATGATAACCTAACCCAAATGCTTTAGCCTCTTACACTCCACTTATTCCCATTCCCAATAAAGAAAAAGTACACTTATATTGGTAAATCTATGATAAACTTGGAAGTCCATCTCTTACTATCTTTCATATACTTACCTCTCTTCTAGTCAGTCTCTCTTTCAGCCACCAGTAGTTACCACATTACACTAAATGTCTTTAAGGCCCTGTATGATGAAGGCAAGCTATGCATCAGGAACTTTATACCCCTTGTAAGCAATGGTACATGAGATCCAGTTGATGTTCACACCAGAAATGAGCATGTTTATTGTAAGTTGGTAAACAAACTTGAAACTCAATCAGACCGAACTCTTGCACAGTTCCAGGCTTGATTACTAGTGAAAGAATATGAAGGATCTTTTAGTCCAAGGGATAAGATAAGATAAGACGCCAATACATTGGTTAATATGCAAGTTGATATTCATCACCGAACTTTGTACGAACTTAACATCAAGAAAGTATTCCTCAATGCAGTTCTTGATGAGAAGGATTAATAGAGCAGCTTTTGGGTTTGTTGTTTATGAGGCATTTAGAGATTGTTGAGGATATAGATATTCATATAGCATACGCACACTTCATGAGTTGGTTCTCTCATTTCTCACGGGCACTAGACAAGTTCGGGATGAAATGTATATATTTTTCTAGAGAAACAAGGAAAAAGGATTGTTATGCTATTTGACATTGTTATCACTGAGGATGATGAAGAGTGCCTCGTTACACTCAAGTTCCACATTCTAAATGGGTTTTGGATGAAGTAGCTAGAAAGTTTGAGCTCTTGGCTAGATTGTGAGAAGGCATATTTCTGTGTTAATGAGGTATGTCCTTAACATCTTAGTTGAGGTTCAGATGCTTAACAGTCAAAGATCACTCTCCAATGGTTTCAAACACTACGAGGGTGTTCGGTTAGAGGTATTAAGCGGTAAGCAAAAGGAATGAAAACAAAACTATTTGGTTTTATATAATATAATGGGCCCATTCCCTCACATTCCCCAGCCTGAACCAAACAGCCCCTGAGTCGTATACTAATCATGAGAGCTTCTTGATGACCCAAGAAGACTCTCAAGACTGGTCAAGAAGCTAGCCTCTCTCAAACATTGTTTTCTTTGAGTGCAGGGAATATTTTCATGTTTTCTCCACAAAGAAGTCAACAGGATGCAGTCTTGCACATATTAAAGGTACCTCAAGTATGCTCCAAGGAGAGGTTTCTTACATGGAGATGAGAGGCATACACGAGCCTCAGAACTCTGCTGGGTTGCCTATATAGCCAAAGATTTGCTTCTAGGTGCATTTGGTTTAGACAGAATATTGTACCATGGGAAAACAAAAAGCAGGATGTCCTGTCTTATCTGGGGATCAGTTGCAATGGCTCATACACCTTGTAAGTGGACCTAGGTACGGAACTATAGTTGACAGAAGTAATGGGGATCCTTCGGTACTACTCATGAACTTTTCCCATTGAGGCAATCCATTCATGAGATCAGGTGTCTGAAACACTAAGAAAGCTGCTGCTTCAGGGGTCACATATTAGCCCTATATACATGACAAGTTGGCTAAGTTGAATATTGTAAATGTTTTTTTGGAGAAATCCTATGATTAAACCACTTGTTAAATAGGATACAATGATTATCCATTAGCCAGGTTTAGAAACCCCTATGAAAAAACCTAGTTAGTTTGAATATAATTGACAAATTAAGCCTATTATTCTAGCATTTCTCCTCAAAGTGGAGCATATACATCAATCATGCAGTACTTGTCACACATAGGGTTAATCTGAGAAAAGCCTGCTATCTTCTCAAGGTTCCCTCCAAATTTCTAGTCTTTACAGCTATATGTCAATTACTTTACAATCAAAGGTTAGTTTTCTTGTCAACTCTGCAAAATATCCAGCTAGTTGAAAGAATCCAACATTGACAAATAGATTAAATGACCAAGCAATAGCTTTGTTTAAACTTAGGGGCCATTTACCATACGCTTACAGGAATACCGGGTAAGCAGTGTATAGGTGTCACTTGCCTTACCAGATGAGCATGGCAAGGACCGAGAATCTTATCCGGTAGGTTTGGAACAAGACTCTTACCCGATTAGCACTTACCGGGTAAGAGACGCTTATCAACAATCCACTTTCATGGCCGAAAATGTTACCCAATAAGGTAAGTGAGGATGGTAACTCTTGTCATTAAGCGCTTACTTGGTAAGCATCTGGTAGACGACCCCTTAGTGTTCTTAAAAAAATTTACTTAAAAATAGCGAATTGAAGATTGGGTTCAACGAACTAATACTTTGAACCTGTTTGCTTGTGACAAGACATACCTCACCTCTACCTGTGCAATAGGCGGCTCCATTGGAGAAGAAGAAGGGGACATCTGAGCCAATTTCACTAGACCATTCTTGGAGTTCCTTTTCAGTGGCCAGGCAACCACTAAATTGGTTTGCTGCCCAAAGAGCAGTTGCAGCATTACTACTTCCACCCCCAAGCCCAGCCCCAGTTGGAACTCTTTTATCAACATGAACCTGCCACAATGTTAGACTAAATGAATAACCACGAATTCCATGTTTACATGCTACAGGTTCTTTATATACAAAAGAACGAAAATGAGTCCCCAAAATCCATTATAACTAGTAAAATTTTGTCAAATTTAGTATGTTACATTCATATTGCAGTAAACAACATAGGAAGGGTCTTCGGAAAACAAAAACTGGTATGCATGATTGTTACATATATCAATTTTTATATACCATTTAACTGCTAAAGATTCGAGATTTCGTATAATTCTACAGATCTTACCCAAAAGAATTTGTCACTTCCAGTCTTCTTCCGGTACAGGTTCAAGGCCTTTATTATCTGAATGCACAAAATACTTGATATAATATGTATGTCAAAAAGTAAAAGCACAAAAGAATCAAGAAAGATTACTCATTTACCAAATTTCTTTCATCAAGCGGAATTCCAGGCACATTAGTTGACAAGCGATCTATAGATTTTGATGGTGACAAGGAGAACTTTATCTTATCTCCTAAGCTGATCACCTAGAGATACAAATAATCCGAATTTTCAACATCACATTAAACATCAGAAGTATTAGAAGAAAATTCCACCGACCATCACTTAATTTATTAATAAAGAGAATAAAGGAGCTCAAACACGACTTTTTCAGCAATAAACACTAGATTGTACAACTTACATGGAATAGAGATGCCAAGTCATGAAACCCGTCTGGCCTCTTATCGGTTATTCTTAGAAAAACATTGATCTGCATTTCAAAAGATTTCAGATCCAACCCAACCATTTCATAAAGCATAACCTTTGCAAAACAGAAAGTAGATCCAATCCAAGAAAAGTTTACGTATAGTGGCTAACCAATTTTGTGTGAAATGATAGATATGATAGGAATTTATGCTGGCATGTTTAAGCAGGATCAGACATGAAGATATCATATTTTTCCTTTTCAACATTTTATTAACCCCCCACTGCCCAACAAAAGGAAAGAGATTTACTTTGTCTCTTTAGGGCCAATGGGCTAATTTCAACTTCAAGATCCATAAGCTTATTTTTAGGTTGCCAGGAACTACATCACAATTTTTTGAAAATTTCCAGTTCTAACAAATTGCATAATAGTTTTGAATCCTGAAAGTACTAATGCATCTCCTTACTTCCCATCTTTGATATCATCACTATTGCTAAAAATATTTGGAGGGATTAAAATTTTAAGCATAAGTTTACATTGAGTTTCATTTCAAAACAACAAACACATAACACAAAGAATCACATAATCTTACCTTGCAAGGAGAAAAGAGAGAGAGCCTTGACAATCCAGCATTCATATCCACCTCATCAGCCAATGTATTTAGTTTTTCATCAAGATTATACACTAACTAAAATAGCCACAACCAAAAAAATAAAATTGATGAGACCCAACAATAATAAGCAGAAAAGGGTAGTAACACAAATTTCTAATTAAACCAAATAATTTGATGGAAACTACCTCCACTTGTTTTCTGCCATGTTTTGAGCCATCAGATGCGGCTTTAACCATATGGCTTTTCAAATTTCTGCAATTCTTCTCAAAAGATGAGAATCCTTTGGATTTATAAGAAGAAGAGTATAGTCGGGGATTACTGATTTTCGATATACCATCGCCAGAAGAGTAAATGTGGCGACTGCAGAAGAAATGAGAAGCAGCCATTGCCGCCATGACAGAAGAAGATTCTTAGGTGATTCAAAGCCTACGAAATGGCGTTTTACAAGTTGAACTGATATCAGGACTGTTCTTCTAGGTGTGAAAGTTGGGACAAACCAACGGAATCCAAATATATAAGATTGATATGGATTCTTGGCGTTTTTGGTTTGGCGTTTTTCTAGGCGCTTCTTCTCCCCAAATTATAGAAACTTCCCCTACGTTTTGCTATAATTGCAGTTCCTACCCTCTTCTTTTGCATGGTTGCCTATAAACCCAAAAAAAATCTTTATATGTATAAAAAAAAAAAGTTTGGAGTATTGAAGTAGCACCATAAAAATTGAGTATTTTTAAATGGTGAATTGTAGTTAAGTTTTAGTTGTCCTATATTAGTGGAGAATTAAAAATTTTGAACAACATGAAATATATAAGAAAGGTGGATTGAATGTCTTTGTATCAAATCATGATGTTTGTCTCATAGAGTTGTCTTATTCTGGATGACCCTCTTTGAAATCTATAACCATGCTTGGAATCAAAACCAACCAAATGGTAATATATATACATATATACAGGGGAGGGATAAAATACAAACTAATCCATTAGAATAAACCGTGAAAAGCTCATACAACCAATCATAATTTTCTTTATTTTTTTCTAATTAAGAGAGTTGATTAGTCAATTTCATTCTGGAGAATGTCAATTATGGACTTTATTATCTTCATTCTACTGATTTTAGAAAACAAATTTCATCAAAATAAGAAACACAGGAAACAATTTAATTTTCACATACAAACAAAAATATATGAAACAATTTCATCAAGAAATGAATTATTTGAAACAATTTCATCATATTAAACAATTTGATGAAAAACTTTTACTAATTGAACAATGAAATCGACGGTTTTCACGATTTGTACTAATGGTTTTGGTTTGCATTTTATCCCTTATATATATGTGTGTGTGTGTGTGTGTGTATATATATATATATGGAAGGGTTCAAACGAGAACTCCTGTAATTTACGAAAACGCGAGAACAACTCAATAACCACATATTGGGATAAAAAATAAAATTAAAAGATTTTTAAAATTAAAATT